ATCTGCTTAGTTGGCATGGCATCGTGTACGAAAACACAAACACTGAACAGGCCAAGAACAACAAATTTTTCAAGTTCTTTACCAACAAATTCTTGATCTTTGACTTGTGTTTGATTAATAATAATATAATGAATAATATATAATAATAATAATAATAAGGTAATATCAATAGATGAAATACATCAATAATAATAATAATATAAGTAAAATAAATAAATATAATAAGGATAATAATAATAATAATATAATAAGGAAAAGTTTTGGGGGTTATTTTTTTTTTATCCTTTACCTTCACAAGCCTTTCAGGGCCCCCTGCAGAGAAGCAGTCCCGCAGCATGATGCTGTCACTAGCCTCCCTAAATAAAAACCTAACAACCCATATAACACTACTCTTTTGGTGGTAGTTCATGTTTTGGCATTAACCCTGTTGCTTGTATTTTGAGATAAACACAGCATGGCAGAGGGTGAGATACAGCACACACTACTGGACAAACACACAGCACATAACCTATCCACCAGAATCCTGTTCATTAACTTAAAATGGACATGACCCTTCAATTGGATGAGCCCACCACTATAAAACTTCAGGAGTTCTGTGGCAAATTGTCACAACTGAAGAATGTCCAGAACAGAATAAAGGGATAAGGGAGAGGTTTGTATTATGCTTTAGCCAAGAGAGGTCTTGGTTTGGCTAGATAGTATGCCCACAGCGGTACTTTGGCCTGGATGGAGTATGGTGGTTCTCTACTTGCACTCTAATGTCTACAGGAGTGCTACAATGGCTGGCATAGTCATGTTAGCTATAGATGCTGGTGCAGGGCTTGGACTGCCAAGCTCAACTGCTCTGCCAGCCTTGGCTTTGGCACTGCAAATGGGTCTGGAGGCTGCACTGTTGAACAAGTTTCTGGCATCAGCTGTGCTCCAAAGGGGAAGGAAAAAACAACTGGCTGTTGGAACCAGAGGCTCTGGCATAAGGTGGACCTTCTTCATAGCTATGTCTGAACCTGCTTGCTAAATAGAGATACACTATGGTCGTAGGGCGACAGCAGTGGACAGTGTTTGAAAATAACAAACAGTATGGAAATTGGGGTGGAGGGTTGGAGAGAGATATTTAGGGTACAGTTAAGCGTAACTATTTGCACAAGCTAGCTGATTTTTCATGATTCTTCACGCTTCATTTGGCAGCATTTTTATGACTACCAAGCAGCTTTTGCTTGTGGCTAAGTTCAAGACTTGTGCTTGTCAACACGGAATGTTCAGACTTACTGTAAAGGTATTAACATAAATTGTGATTGTGGACTTCAAATTGAATTACCAGTTCATCCATCACCCTTTACAGACTGTAGCATAATGCTCTGCTCACTCAACTCTTTCGGTAAATTGTGGTTACAGAGGCTGTCCTTTAACCAGTTCACCCTAAAAGTCAAAGGTCATTTTAGCAATCGTCTATCCTACTGAAGTGCATCGTAGCAATACATTGAAAGCCTACAGGGTCAGGCAAGAGGTGAATTTCTATACTTAGATCAATAACCATTATATCACTTTTAAATTCCATGGTTTATATCTACATAATGCTACATGTCAAGGTCCTTGCCTTGTTAAATTGCCCAGAAATATTGAATATAATATTTCAATTCAAAATAAAAAGGTACGACACAAAATGTGAACTTTCATAGCATGACATGGAGTGTGTTATCATGCAGTTCACGCCTATGATAATGTTTATTGATCTGATAAACTATATTTGATAGATTCATTGGTCAGAAATAATAAACGTCAAGCCTATAATTTCAATGGGGCTGACATGGACTGAGTGACATATTTAAAAAACGTTTTAATATCACACACAGGTAATTTTGCATCTAAATCATTTGCAGCATTACTTGATACTTAATCATGCAATATAAGCACAAATGCTTGCTGTATAGATGTGAGTTTTAATTTTTCATGAGATGAATACAGAACTGTGAGAAAATAGGTGTCTCCTCTAATCCATTAAAATGGAACTTGTATTTACTTGATAGATGAGAGTCATTGCCTTTGAATGATCTCTTACACCATTTGATCCTAGATTGATTTAGCACACGGCTCCCTGTAAAGGGATTAACGATGCAAGAGTTGACAGGCAAAGCAGATTGAACGGTCTCTACCTGTATTGACTTCCAGCAACCTCCTCTTCTTCTGCTGTCTCTCCTGCTTTTCACGCTCCGCCTTCTCCTTTGCTGCCCGTGCTCTTCTCTGTTTCTCCTCTGTCTCCCTCTGCTTCAGGTTCTCCTTCAGTGCTTGCTGTGGGTAGAGAGAGAAAGTGAGAGGAAGACAAAAAAGCAGAACAAGATGGATTGCTAAGTAGGGTTAATTACAGTAGTGCAGAGCCTGTCAAAGGCAGAGGCAGCTGTCAAACCCCACAGACATCTTTATCAGGCACCATTAAAGTCAGATGAAGCTTGTAAGGTGCATTTCCACCCTGTTCTTGCCAGACACAAACCAACTTGATACTAGAGACTTCAGACGATAGATATCCATAAGAGTGACTGAACAATGACCTGAAGACACAAATAGAAGTGGCAGGTCTTAAAACATTATTTTCTAAACTATTAGTTTAATATTTATTCAAATTTTTAGACATTATTAAGGATCTTTTTCAATATTTTACTTTCCTTTTTCTTTATGACCCTGGTAGAATCACCTTACATGATAAAACAAGGAGTAGGAAAACATAACATACTATAAAAATGCACAAAAATAGAAGTACCAAGCCACTGTGTGTGTACACAGATGCAGGCATTTAAAGCAAAAAATTCAATAAAAGAAAAATAATATTTATCATTATTATCAAAAAGTAATGATGTACTCTATCAGTGTCGTGTGGTAGCCTACACTTAAGTAGATGCTACATTCTGATAGTCCAAAAATGTTTGACGTGGAGATTGTAGCATTGCCAGTCATTCACTGTTCAAATACAAGTCGTGGTGACGTTGAGACGTGGTTCCTGTTAGGTCCTGGGACAATAAGGTTTTCTAATGTTATTGGCATTTGCACAAGCCAATGTAGCCAACTTCTAAACTCGTCACAAAATGCCATTAATTCCAGTCTGCCTGTCTATGAAGAATTATTTTATAGGTATACTATCTACTGTTCATCAACCACCGAGGGTACAGGCTCTATAATCCCTGTGCCAAAGGGTTGTTAAACTCACACGATGGTGTCCGTAGCTTAATAATGCCACAGCCAAGAGAAGGACTGCATATGATTTAACAGAGTGTTAGCATGATTGCCATCCTGATCAATAGCCAGTCACTTAAAGCAAGGAAGTCTGGGCTTTTATCAAACACCCAACTCCGCCTCCTCGTCTCGCCTCCACTTGTGTGAATCACATAGCCGAGCTTGACAGGCAGGTCAGTGGAATAATATTAATGCCAAACCAACGTGAATGGATGCCCACAAAAACACACACTATGACAACTGCGTAGTATATGGAAAACTACACACAATAAACAGGGGCAGTCGCATATTGAGGCACAATGACAACCTCTTATTAAGTCTTCATACTGGTGACCATTGTTGGAAATTATATCGACTCGATTCAAAATAAATCAGTGTAGTCCATTCAGCATCAACAAGCCACTTGAAATGTAGAGAAACATTAACTCAAATAAACACACTGTAAATGCCTAATAGTAGGGGTGTAACAGTAAATAATATTCAGTTTAATATGGCTCTACCACTCAGAGTATGCTTTAATCCGGCCTATGAGCGGTCAAAAACACTCCTATGCATCCTATCCTACCCAAATAGATACTCTACATCCTTTTTTCTTATTCACAATCAGACCATAATGGTTTGTTGGCAGCTTTGCAGATATATATTTTAAACATGAATTTAAACTCAAGACAATAGCAGCTAACAACCCTGATATGTACCACTTAGCATTTTACAGAAATTCAGGAGAAGAAGGAGAGTGCTGGAGAAGAAGAGAAGAAGAGGCTGAATGCCAAATGACTGAGACACACCGAAAACTATTCAAAGCTCTATTTTTAAATGAAACCAAGTCCTTGACAAAATTAACTTCAATTTGATGGGTTGCTCGTGGCAACCACTGATTCACAAATTACAAAATTCTTAATAGGCATCCAATCTGGTAGATGACAGGCAGAGAGAATGAGGAAAAAGAGAAGGGAAGAACAAGAGTGCTGACACGTAATACATTTTCAACAATTAAGTGATCCCAGGTTACAAGTAGACAGCTGTGATGGATGCCTAATGTGAACTTAGTCAAAGTTCTGACACTCTTTCCACTCTTCGCTATCAAGCAGCTCTCTTATTAAAAAGTCAGATTTAATCAAAGCTGCAAGCAAGGCTTATATGGCAATCAGATGATGATTGCCATATAAGCCTTACTTCCTGTTTCCAGCAGGTGGCACTATGTCTATGACAGAACATTAGCATGTAGATGTGTTTAGGGCGGACCAAATCCAAAATGGCCAACTTCCTGTTTGGGAAGGCATGCACAGGACATATTTTAATCCGTAAATTTCTGCTGCCGTTGAATTTTCGAGCATGTTGCGGCCTCCAAAAATGCTACTTTAACAAGAAAAACAGAGCTGTCGCTATCCTCAACCCAAACAATTTCATACAAGCAGCAATTTAGTTAGTAGTGTCAGTGTTGTCTACAACAGCCTCATAGATTGGATTGTTGATTACATTTAACAACACATATCTTTAAACTAAACAGCTTGTAAACGATGTATGATTAGTTTGTATTTTGTTAAGAAGAAAAAGTAAAACAACAAGATACCCTACAAACCTACAATGCAAATGACAACTGTACTTTGATATTAACAAATGTAGGCCAATGATAATACAGTCGGAGTTTGATGATTGAAGGTCATTTTAACAAACAGGAGTCTACAACCATGTTAGCAGCTTTGTGAAGCTATGCTTTGGTCAAACGACACTGCCATTCCTAAAGCGATGTTGCTAGTATGGCTTAAAATGTGGCAGATAGTTTTAATAACACGGCTATGCAGAACCACTGAGGAATTCTTTAGAGCCAAATTCTTATTTAAAACTGGACTCTTTACTGCTGTCAGCAGCTCAGGGAAAAAATGATTGGTCAATAACGGGTCAATACAACAAGTGGGCCGGTGTATTGGAGGATCACTCTTAAACTTCACAAAGAGAAGAAAAAGAGCAGCTAAAGAATATTACATTAAAACTTTCTTGTTGGATAATGATCACAGCCAGCACAAAAAGTCCACGATGTCTTCTTAAATCATAGAACCAATAAGCAAAAAGAGAATAAAAAAATAGTCACTATGGACATTAACTGAGTACGGTAACTTTTAAAGTCCATTTTAAACACAGGCAAGACAAGTTTCATTTGTTTTGAAATCGGAATTCAACACTTAAGGCAAGAATTATCTAAATACTTAAAAATAATGAGAACTGTTGGAACATTGATTTGGAGAGATAGTGAAGAAGAGCCGCCTGAAACTACAAAAAGATGAAGAGTCATGTGATTTTTGCCATCTGACAAAGCATTCAATTTTACTGTAACGCTGAGCTGAAGGTAGAGAGAGAGAGCGGGGAGAGAGAGCGAGAGAGAACCAGCTCTCTGAGGAAATTGCCCTCCGCTCTCCTTCATCACTGCAGGTCTGCTTCCCCCTCCTCCTCTCCTGGATGTCCGCCATTAGACACGCTCAATTGGATTCCTGTCAGATGTGCGGCCTCGCCCTGGGTCTCCTTCCTACGGGTGACTGAGCATGCTGTATGTGTGTGTACGAGTGTGTGTGTGTGTGTGTGTGTGTGTGTCTGTGTGTGAAAAAGCTAAGCAGCTTTCCCTATAAAAAATTGCCAACACAAAATGACATACGCACACAAACAAACATGCACACACACACAAACACACGTTATGCGAGCAACAGACACACAGTGCAAGGCTCAGTTTGCTTCAGGCAGTGGTCTAGAGACAGCACGCGCCTATTAGCATGGGCCTTGGCGCAGCAGGGTAAATGCTGACACAGATTTGACCGAGAGGTTACGGTGCTGAGATTTACTATATGCCTACGTTCACTGACCTAGCCTTGGCTTCTCCCAAGATATGTCTGTGTGATGTGACCATTTGAACGAATTGCTGAGGGTGTAAGCAGCTTACACCTTGACCTATCACAGGGGAATAAATAGCTACCTTGGGAGTTTTGACCATATAATGCTAGTCTTTATAACACTTGGCTTGTTCACCTTTCACTGGCAGAGTCATTAACTGTTATGTTTGGTCAGGACATAAATGCAACTGCAAAACTCTAGCCTGAATCATGGAGCTAAAACAAAAGGGATTACGGCTGCAATGTGAAACATTATCAACAGCATATGTTATGTATTCTTTGTATTATTATTAACTGGCATTAAATTAATGCATGGAACAAACTGAGGTTTGCATTATTCGTTCTGGGTCTGATTCACATCTGAACTGGGTTGTGGCTATTAAAGTGAGACAAAGAATCAAAGCACAGAGGAGTCCTGGGATCAATAGCATAGGTGAAAGAAATAAGAAACAAAGGAACAGCCAGGGGAAAAGCAAAGCATCTGTGAAACTTTGTTTTCTGTGTGTTTCTCCGAGCCTGTGAAGAATGTGTAGATACTGTAGTTACGTCAGTCTCAGGTTAGGTGTCACATACTGCAGCCTCACATCAGGACAACTAAGTGTAAGGATGTGAATTTGATCATATAAGAAGTGAAGAGGGCAAGATTAACATTGTGTGCCTCAAGGTAAAAAAGTTTTATAGTATAGGCAGCTTTAAGTAAAGGTGCTCATGTGAGAGCTGGGTACTGTCAAAGCTATTTAAAGTCTCTTTTCTTCAAGATATTAACATATATTCTATATACAGTACTTGTAATGCCTCACAGCCAGTCCTTTTATTGGATTTCTAACAATAACACGTGTCTGAATAGCTTAAACAATACTGATTCTCTAAGCAGTGACAATAGTTAGTGTATTGGTTGGGCATCTAAATGGTTTACGTGTATCTCAACAATTCGATGAAGAGAAGAGAAGTAACAGAATAGGTAACTGTAGACCTATTTAAAACCATTCAAAAGTCTCTTGTCAGACTTTGTGTAGATGATATGTCTGTGTAGAATACACAGGAAATGTCTGCATCAGGCACACATAAATGTTACTCAGGTTGAAAGGGGATTTTAGGAGAGAGGCAAAGAGAGAAATAGAGATACCAGTCTGAATCTAGGTATTTAGTTTAATTTAACAAATTATACCATTTCTGACCTTGAAGAAATCACCATTCATCTTGTAATAATGGCATTCAAGTGGAAAATTCCATTGCAGGTGAGGTGTCATACAAAATGGTATTGTCACAATTCTAAGCCCTGCATATAAAACAGGACCAAAACACCACCACCACTATCCCTGAAAAACACAAAAATGTACAGACAAAGCTTTGGAGTACAGCATAACCAATGACTATGCATAAAAAAAGGCAAAGAGGCATTAAATCCATTCTGTGTGTGAGGTAGATGTTAAGTTGGGGGTAGGGCAGGAACTTTAGTAGGCTAATTAGCTACTATTATCTGTCGCGCCCAGTGGCCTGTGCCACTAATCCTGCTGATTAAACACAGTGGGTCTCCACAGCTCCACAGCTCACAGTAGCACCAGACTGATAAGGCCATGGAGCTCAGTGATGACATAAATGTCTGGGTGGGACTGGACTACACAGGACTGGCACAGTTCTGCTTTGCATTTTACTACAGGACACTGATGTGAGAATCGCATTAAAAAAAAGCTGAGGATCCGTGCTGACACGCCAATGAAGAAAAATAGTAGCGATTTAAAACAATTTTCAAATCCACTCGAAAATACTCTAGTTCCTTTTCACGTGTCTTGTGCTTTTTGGTATTCAAGGCTGTTTACAACAAAATGCAGCCAGCCCACCAAATTTCAAAATACCTGAGTAAAAACAGCTATTACTCTAATGTGAAGTATTTTACTGCAAGGACCAACTAAAATCCAAATCGTATTAGTTGATAAAAGATAAAATGCAATTCAAAACTATTAATAATCAGGCCTTAAAAATGGCATTATGGAACATCAGTCCACATGAAATGACACTCCAAGGTATTTGTTTAACAGGTGTACTTGGTTTATTTATTGATGCCCCACAATTTCAGTAAAACAACCAACAAATTAACTGTAACTTGTGATTAAAGCAGCATTAATGATGATTCATTTTATATTCAAATGTTAAATACATATGTCCTATCCTACAGAGAATAAACCCATCAGCAAAACCATATCATGTTAGTACTCACAGTGAACATGGACCGGAAGTTGCTGAGATCAGTGAACAGCTCCTCCACAGAGGTCTTCTTAGGATCGACGGCAAAGTACTCCAGCATGTTCTGATACAGTGTCTCCATATTGCTGTGCATTATCACGAGCTTGCCATACTGCTCTCGTGCAACCTTGCTGAAGCTGTGAGGGCTGTGGTCAAGGTCAACAACAGATCCATCCAACATTAAGTGTTAATTTAATGAGGAAGTACACTACTCTCCCGCTCTCCCACAGCAATGCAAGATATCAATGTCCGGCGGAACAAAAACAGAAAGCATTAACACATGTTGCCACGAGGATCTGAGGCTGGAAAACTGTGATGTTGGCATTCGAAGCTCTGATACTGTCAGTCAGGTTACTACCACAGTGTGTTCACTACTATGACCCCCTGCAGCCTACAGCATCTGTGACTCATGTCTGGCTGTTGGCATAGTGTGTTGGTTTATCTGACATACACAATATTAACTGCCAATAGAGACAAATTAAAAGGAATATATTCCACTCTGAAAATATTGAGATCAAAATCACCAGCATCACCGTCACCTTGGGGTTGTGGTACACCACTGCAATGATTTTAGTGCACTTAAGTTCAAATTATTTTGAGTTCAACCCTCTCTGGCACTGTCATTTGGAAGCCCATTCAATCAGATTATAATTTAGTGAAAAGTTTATGTTTATTTCTAGCACAAATTCCCCAGTGTAAATAAAGCAGAAAATTATGTTTTTACGTATAATTGTTCTCTGGTTCTGTACTAAATGCAGCAGCAAGCACAGTCTTAGTCTGATTATTTTTAGGCTGTCTAACCCTAAAAAAAATGTTTTTTTCAGCTGTGTGGGCCAACAACTTGTCTATGCACCTAAAAATGGCACACGAATAGTGTCAAGAGCTGGTCCTCACATACACTGATATATCCTACAACACAGAGAAACAGCATAACATTATGACCACTGACAGCTGAAGTGAATAACTGATTATCTCGTTATTACGGCTCCTGTCAGTGGGTAGGATATATCAGGCAGCAAGTGAACATTTTGTCCTCAAAGTTGACGTGTAAAATAGGGCAGTGTAATGATTTCACAAGGGCCAAATTGCTACACAACTAGGTCAGAGAATCTCCAAAACTGCAGCTCTGCTGGGGTGTTCCCGGTCTGCAGTGGTAAGCAAAGATTATTGTTTTTAAGATTGCCTTTGCTGTGCCAAAACTGATTTGCATGGGAGATTAAAGAGCATTAAAAGGTCCTCCTGGTTCAACCTGGCAAAGCAAAGGACAGTTCTGTTATGCTGGTATGTTTGTGTGTGTGGATGAGGCCAAATAGGTAATGGTTGTGTCAACATAAGCTGGAGAAGTGTCAGTGTCAGAGCAAAGTGAGGGAGAAAGTGAGAGCACTAATACACATCCTACCTTCTACCAAGGCACACTGTTAAGCAAGGCTACTGTAAGTCCCCACACACAATACTCACCCAGTGTAGAAATCTAGCAAGCATAAATTTGCTGTTCAAAAATCATTTCACATATGTTATTAGCCCTTTTTTGTTTATTATTATTGAATTTTTCATTATTATTTCCAAAAGCATAATCTGAGCAGTCCTTTCCACATGATGACTGTTTAATAAGCGTTTGATGCACAAGAATATATAATCTGGGTTAGAATCAGCTTTGTTTAAAAACATCTGGGTAATTTTCTAGGCAAATCTATGAAAAGGAAAAAAAGAAAGAAAGAAAAGGATATGTCCCTAACTAGCAGTCCTGCTTATGACGTGTTTCAGATAAGAAGTGTCTGTGTGGTATCACAATTATGTGGGCAGCCTCTCTGGCTCCTATTGTGCCCCTTCATTACAGTTCAATTGATGGACCTATTTGACGTCTGGCCTCTGTTGAATCTGGCAGGGGATGGGACTACCTATTCACAGCTGGGTAAATGCTGTTCAATAAGCGCTGTTCTCGAATTGACTTGTCAGTAATATCTTTCTAAGCCAGGAGTTAGAGGAAAGATGCATGGAGAAAGCCTGAGCAGGTGATGGAAAGCAAGAGAGAGGATGAGAAAAGAAGAAATAGCCGAGAGCCACGGTTGATAAGTATCACAGGGTGCAAAATATCTCTCCTGGCATCTTCCCTACTCGAGAGAAAGCAGATGTCCAGGGCAGCTCTCGCTTTCTTACTGATCCTCTGCTCGTTTCCGCTTATATTTCCATCTCTCTGATTTTCTTCTGTTCTAATCTGCCACCTTCACGTACGTAGCTCACATTTAGAAGTGTAACACTAGACCAATAACTGTATACTCGAGTGGCACGAGTGATAATGGAATTTTCAATGTCATTAGGTGACACTCCAGGCTTCTCATGTTTAGCTTGTGACTGTAGATTTCTCTTTTCAAAATAATGACCTCATAAAAAAAAATAATAATATTAAGGTAATCTGATTGTATCATCTATCAAATGGCTTCTTCAGGATGAGCAGTGCAACTTCTTTGAGAATAAAAGAGCAAATCCCCACTGCTTTTGATCTCACTTTTAGATATTCTATGAGTAATGTTCAGTAATATTCTTCTCTAATGTGAGATGGTAGAAAAATGGTCCAGTCAAAATTAACTTTAAAGAGCTTAATTATACAAACATGGATTGCACAAATGTATAATACCTACATTGAGTCAGATACATGTTTTATCAATACTACATCTTATGATGCTCAGAACACAATTCCAGGTTGTATTAAGTAGGTTACTAATCAAAAATGTAGTGGTTCTGCTGTTTTTGGACTGAGCACCGAGTGTGAGATTTGCATATGGATGACTTGTCGTAAATGTGACATATGACGATATGATACAAACTTTTGATCAAATATTTGTGGTCAACATATTAGGTCCTGATGAGTATGTGTATAATGTAAGTGAGTGTGTGTCTAGCTGAATTTTGGTTTCTGGTTTTAGTGAGTTCAGATTTAATTTCTAGCTTCAAATCAGTGTTGCTAAAATTAGAATTTTTTTTCAAGGCACCTGGAATTTGAAAGCAAAGCAGTAAATGGCAGAGTTGTCAGATCCATTCTCAGTGAACCTTTCTGTGTTGCACTCAAGTTCCTTGCTAACTACTACAGCACAAGCCACCAGTGCCCAAGCCCCGAGGCGATTGATCAAAACTACATGAAGGAGGCTAGGTACAGGGTGTATTATTGAACACACACTTGCACACCTGGTCTGAGACGTGCCCGTCAACCTGATCCACCAGAACTACTCCAGAGGACAGTGAATAATTAACACTGCTGCCAAACAGATACGGACAGCTGTCAGAAGTGGACCTGGATATCCAAAGAGGGCAGCGAAACAGAAAAGAGAAATTGTTGATTACGCTTTTGTGAATTAGCGCTTTTGTTTCATTATGGTAAACTTGAATAAAACATATTAAATTGCTCTTGTTATGTTTCTGGGAACATACAACAATGACTGACATGAGAGAGAAAGTGAGTGACAGAAACACGAAGGAGGCTTTGTCTCAATCCTCCCTCTCTAACCCTTCCCTTCATATTGAAGTTGCCCTCAGTGTGAAGTACTCATCAAAAAGAGAGCTGAGAGGGGTACTGGCACAAAAACCTGACGATGAAACGGGATGCCACTCATGACTTGTACACATCCTCGACAGTAGAAAAATAAAAGCAGAACAGAAATGAAAGCATGTGTATACTGTATAGAAACAAGGGTGGGAGGGCTACCCTTGTCTAACTTTCTTTTGTGTTACTTATTATTTTCTGGAGTGATTGGCAATGTGTTATGGACAGTCCTTTTATAAATAAAGTGGTGAAATTATTCCATGTGGAGGCAGAAGGGCAGAGTCACATTTACAAAGCTAAGTTTTCCAGTACAGGTCGAAGGTGATGGGAACTAATGGAACACAGCGTAAGTATTTAATTATGTAAAAGGGAAAGGAAATGTGTTTAATTGGGTGTTTGATCAACCAAAGACTTCCTTCCCATTATACCACAAATTCAGCTATGTATTAAGCTATAAAAACATGCTCTTTTGCCAGCCTGTGCAGCAATGTTAAAAGTAAACATATAGCTCTAGTAACATTCCTGTAATTCTTGTTTAGTTTGATTCGTCACAGTAAACTCATTGAATAATTCCCCTGGACTGGTAAGTGAACGCATGCATGCGTGTGTAAAGGATATAGCCATTTTTGTGAAGAACATGTCGTTGGGGTCATCGGGGGAGGAGAAAGTCTCCAGGTCTCTCTCCAGCTGCAGCAGCTGCCTCTCCATCTGCCTGAGGCTCTTTTCCAGATTCTCTGCAGACACTGACACACACCGACACACGTGCCAAGGAAATGTGAACAAAGAAGCAGAAAGAGGACAACTCAATTACAGGTACAATCAAATGCATTATTATTTTGATGCTCAAAGAATCAGAGAAAAACAACATACAAAAAAAAATAACAGGGAAAATGAGAGAGAAGCCTGCTCAGTTGCAAAGCATGCTTATTATGGGCTCACACTGTGCCAGAAACACCAAGGGAATAAACAGTGACTGAGGAAAAAATAAACATAGGTATGTTCAATACATAGTTTTTTTTATTATTCTTTGCTTTTCTTTTGCTCATGTGTATGTCATAAACAGTTACATTCATATAAGACTACAATGCCTTGTTGGCTTTTCAGTAACACAAACAGTAAAACAGGTTAAAAACTGCAGCCTAAAAGTATGAAGAAAGCTGTTGAAATGAAAATCTTTCTACATCCTTCATCCTTTGTCTTTAGTCTTACCAACAGGTGCATGGATCATGCAGGTGGGAGAGCAGCAGGGGAACACTGAGCCTAACTTTCTGTTAAGTTGGTCATGGCTGACACTTTAAGCTAGTCACTTGAATATAGCGTATGTCTTAAATTACCCTGATTAGACCCCACTTGACAAAAAGGCATAAGCTTCTTATTTTTAAGTCGTTTCAAATGTCCCTTGATCCTAATACATGCCTTACGAAAAGGAAAAAAAGAGAGAGAGAGAGAGAGAGAGAGAGAGAACTTCAATGTAGCTAAGCTTCTCACTGAATTTATAGCATAAACCCCATTTACTGATGGGAACATAGTGTCCTGAACACACACACACACGTTCAATCAGACATCTTCACTGAAAATATTCTAAAAAGTCTACTGAAGTTGTACAATTTCTCTTCAAATTTGAAGTTTTATTGAGTGTGAATATGATCTTTTCCCTGCAAGTAAATGTCACCATGTGAATGTAGGTGCAAAGAAATACATAAACATAATACATAAATAAATACATAAAACTCTCAAATGGCACTTTTCCTTCTGCTGGCACCCATGATTTAGAAAGGAGACCAAACAGCCTACAGTACCAAATCACAATGTAACTCTCTCTATAGTACATCTGCATCTGTACCTGAAAAATGATTATCAGTTACATTTATTGCATGCCCTCAAAGTCATATTTTTACTCTCTTATCTGTTCATCTTCCTTCTTTTTTTTTACCTTGGGTCATGTCCCTGTCTCTCATGGTAAGCAGTGATAATAAATAATAAAAATGCACGGAAATGCCACAGCACACCTTCCCTTTAAAAATCTTGTCACAGATTATATTGTGACCAATGATTTCTCAATCAGAGCAGCATTCACTGAGCTCTCCCCTGACTGGCTGTTTCATTCAGTGTATTTTGGTAAGAAATCACCCTGTCAATTTGGACAGCAAAACTGTATCAGGATTTGTGTAAAAATCACAATCCTGTCAAGTGTGGAAAACCACCTTTTTTATGTTAAAGCCATTAGAGACATAAAATCACACACATTTGCTCATTTGATGTCAAACCATCTATGTTGAAGTAAAGTCTGGCCTTAAGTATCTTACTAGAAAAACACAACTAAAATGCAGTTTTTACCATTTAATGCCTCATATATTTTACCTGTGACAGTGTGTTAACTGGCATGAAAAGTGTGCCACTATTGTGCTAACCGGTTAATATGTACATTAAAAAGTTGAATATTATGTAAAGATTTGACAAAAAATGTTTTGCTGAATAGTATCAAAAAAAGAATTGAATTCCTTACATTTCATAAAAAAGTTAACAGATTAACAACAAATTCATACAAAGATAACTTTAATGAAGTTCAGTCAATTGGAATTCAAATGTATTGAATATATCACGTTTACCCAATTTAAAAGAAAGAAAAAAAGCTTAAGGTTATTGTCTAGCTTCAGATACTCAAATTGTATGTGATGAGGACAAAGGTGCAGAGGAACTGTAATCTTCTTAAAGAGTCAAGCCACTCTCTCTCCTGGCTCTCAGGCCCTGTTTTATTATGTAATAGTTTAATTGAATGACTTGTGTGCGTTCTTATTTGACTATGTGTTAACTACTCCTCTTGAAAAGAGATAATGTATCTCAAAATATTTCTTGGTTAAATAGAGAAAAAGTGAAGGGTGTGCCGTACAATATAATAATTGATCAAATACACTGCAGTTAGTCATGCATCTGGTGACACATACTTGAGACAGCAAAACTAATCTAAAGTTTATAAAGTTTTTACAGTGACATACTGCATGATATTTGCACACATCAGCAGCACATGTCAAAATATTGTGGTGTTCGTTAACCATCGTGTTTGTGTTTGATTTGTTTTATATGATGCAGAACTAGCTTTGTGACAGGCAAGCTATAGGAATTTCTGAAAGTTAAATAAGAGTTAGTTAAGTAGCAGAAAATAAAACACAAACTATATTGTCTCTATGCTCTTTGAGCTTAAAGGCTAATGGCCTCTTTACAGAAATTCTTTGGATTCTGTCAACACTCATAAAATAACTATAAATCTTTGATAAAATAATCAATTTACTGATTTCCCAAACATCTGACCAAACGCCCAATATGATTAGTATGATAAATATGATAATAAAATGATGATAAAATTGTCCCAAAAATATTTTAGTAAACAGTCAGAAACTGTCACATCATCTACTCGATCATTTCCATTTTAATCTTTCTCTCTTTTTCCGACAAGCCTTCTGCATAACCAAGCAACCAAATCTGCTGAATGGGGTGTGAGCAGCGTACAGAGGTGGAAGAAGACCAAACAGGCAGTCTGTTAATAGAAATTATTAAAGCTCATTGATGATGCACTGACTGAGAAAAGAGCGAGGGAGGGCAAGTCAGAGAGCAAAACAGAGCGGATCTCCTCTTAGCTTCACACTCCAAGCTGCAAGCTTTTGGTGATGAGGCTCCCCCAGGTGGAAGGTCATATGATCAAGAGGTGACAGAAGTTAAGACATCTGCTTCAGGAGAAAATGTGCCTGGGACTGAGTATTGCAGGTGGAATGATTTGATAAACACACAGAGATGTGTCCCAAAGCCGATGATGCTGATGCTAGATATAAACACACATCTGTCATATGCAACTTAAGAACTGTGAAATAATTAGTGACAAGCAGAGTGGGAGATAAAACATAAAAGGCTGTTGTCTTCCTTGTTCTCTCTGGCCACCTTGCTCTTGCTCTCTCTTTCTGTGTGTTAAAGCCTGAGTGATTTTTATGAGCTATGGGGCATGAATGCGTCTGTGGTCCAGAAGGGGTTGCAGACAGACATAGGATGTTTTAGAAGAATAATAATTGGAATATTTGTAGAGGTTAAATCCCCCATTGACATCTTTTTATTACTCTGCCAACCTGCTGTGCTATAAATGAGACTGAGTGGAGCACACAACTGTGCATACTCACAAACAATCCCCCTACACACAGAGCTCCTCTATAGATCATCTTTTGATGTATGGAAATTAAGAGACTGAAAAAATACTGATTTTCCCTTTGAGGCCAAAGCCTGACAGACAAGTGTGAGTAGACCGACCGGTGCCAGAGACTGGGGTATGTGTAATGCAAGAAATCCTGTTACACACACTCAACATCCTGAGTCCCTATATGTACAAAATATATGAATTGCAGTGTGGACTGTTAATTCTATATCATTTCAACCTGAAGCTCATTACTCAGAACGCATGTGGCAAAACTACAAAAATAAGGCTTGAATATTAGAGAACCATATTTTCAGTATAGTTGAATCTTCTTATTATTCCTTAATGACAAGTCTTGAACAGAAACTGAACCAAAACAGCATTTCAATATTTGCTGCAAAATAAAATATAAGCACACCTGTCTATTTAGTACTACGCATAGCTTTCCAAGTAAGTGATGTCTCTGCTTCTGACAGGCAGTATTTGAAGAGTTACAAGATTAAGTAGCCTGGTTCAGCACATTAATATGTCTCCATGTTTGTCTGATTACAGCATCTTACTCAGCACCAAGTACCACGTAACAAACCGTCCTGATTGCTCAAACATGACTGCTGTATGTGTGTGAATGTTTGTGATGAGGGACAACAAAATAGGACTAGGAGAGAAAAAGGGACAGAGAGCAAGATTGATTGACCAGAAATCAAACAGAGAGACAGACAAGAAAGACAGACAGACAGAGAGGTATTGACAGACAGATAAATAGATACATAGATAGAAAATGACAGAGAGAAGCAGCACACCAGGACTGCTTCTCCATGTCAGGAGAAATAATGATTGTAGTGCTGAAAAGAAGAGAGAGGGGCAGAAATAAGAAGGCAGACACAAAGGAACCCTGAACTAAGGTTCCAAGTTTTGCTTCCATGAGAGACGGGATTGGCAATGGGGGAAACGAAGGCTGTGTTACACGCAGTCAAAAGACAGTGGCTTTTGCAACAGAAGCACCAATCATTACTGCTACCTCTATCCAACCCTGTTTTCATGCTCAACTAAGCTCTTTGGTTAGTGTCTATGAATGTAATGCAGCCTTTTAGTGTGTCTTCAGGCCTCCCGAACGGCTGTCAGACCTGATGAAAAGGAAGCCACTCAAGAACATGGTTTACAAAGAGAAAATAGGATTTATGTGTCTGAATACTAGATATGGGGGGATGAGACACTTAGTGTATGCATCTCATAATGGTACAGAAACACAGAGAGAGACAGTGATGGAGAAAGAGCAGTATATCTATATAAATGCAAATATATTCTGAGCTCGAGGTTCACAAAGTAAGGAGGTGGAAAAAGCTTGAAGAGAGATCAAGGCATTGTGCTTCGCCATTGATCACACCCTTGTACTTGTGAGTCTTGGCCAAGGGCTTGTGGACATGCGGCACAGTTCGGAGAAATGAAACACCCAACAGGAGCATCGTTATCCACGGATTATTAAAGCACCAACAAAACCTGGAGGGGTCCTTACAAAGAAGAGTCCAAACAATAAAGTCAAACATGTCATCCTCACTCTGATTTCTCCTCCTCACCCTTTCCTTCACTCACTCCTGCTGGGAACGGAGCAATGGGTAAAAATCTTCTTTGGAGTGGTAAGAAACATGCTGTGACAGTATGACCGCACATGCGCATATAGCTGCAAACACACACATACTGTACACAGACTGCTGCTCGCTACCTCCTCCTGAGAGTTGCCTATGACAATACGAACACAGAACATGACAGAGTCCCCTCTGACCGCCCCGTCTGTCCCTGCTTGCTTGTGACCTTTACCATAATCCAGTGTTTTTCAAAAGTTGGGACCTTGGGGGCCGCCAAGGGGTGCCAGAGGGGCTTCAGAAAATTTGAGGGAACATGACCGAAGATGCAACAAAATTATTTAGAAAAATAAAATTGAATTATTACCCTATTATAATGTGTATTATTATAAAATATAATTTAGAAGAACATATAACTGAAAATCTTATTGTACAATATATAGTATTGTCAATGGGTTTTTAAAAACATGCGTTAGGGGGCCCCGACCATAAGCTAATGCTATATGGGGGGCCTTGGCATGGAAAAGTTTGTTCTAGATACACTGGCCAAACTCACAGCAGTCTGTGAGCGTTTGTGTGTACACGTCTCTGTGTACATTTTTGTTAAACGAACACAAACAATTCAATTACAATCAAACAGTCTTTTGTTCTTCATCTGAGCAGTAGACATGACCTGAAGTATTCTCTTGAAAAATAAGTCTCTTGTTGCTACAGTAGAAGATTAATCTTAGTTTTAAACAGCAGTGCATATGAGCAGAGTGTAGCACAGATCAAACACTAACTGAAAAAATACAATGCATGTTTACAGATTCAACAAGCATCTAATCCCAGAATAATCCCCAGAGAGTTACAAAAGTAGAAAGGTAAAAGTAAAGCTCAAAGTAAAACTGAGGACTACAGAAGGAGAATGCTCCATTTCTGTCTAGGTAAGAACATTGTCTAGGTAGGCCATTCTGTTTATGCATTAAGCTCTCCAAACCACAGTCTTTAATGTCTGGATTTCTCACTACTGTTCAAAAATGCTGGACGTTACCACCACTGTGTTTGGGTGCTTAAACCCTGGGTCTCCCTTAAGATTACTTTGCAGGAGCTCAGGTTAGGTTATTTTGTCTGGACACTGATGGACCTTAAACTTAGTGCTTTGAAATGATGCCATGTTAAAATTAGGTACATGATATCAGTAGTTTATATGGCTGGACAACACACACAGCTCATTATCTTTTCATTAGGCTCACCGTTACCATCATTTACTACTGCCATTGTCTATACCACTGTACTATTATCCATGCTCACTATTGTTTATGTCAGGCAATAACGCTTAATGGACACCATAACAAAAAAAAAAGGCCAAAATGTTGAATTTCTAAAATATTATTCCATTTTAATGGCATGTCCTCAGTTGCCTAAACAACACGTTGAACCGAAGATAACAAGGCTTTTCTCATCTAACTCAAAGCTGAAGAGGCTGGCTTTTTTGAGTTTCAGACAGACAGTTTATCGCAGACAACAGTCAGGAAAAAAGTGTCTTGTATGCATGTCTTTTGTTTGCTCAATAAATAGTCTACCTATTTTATTACTAATTTAGGATTAGTAAACCAGGTGGAAAAGTCCTGCAGGTAAACAGGAAAATAAATAACTTACAACACTTCAAACCAAAATAACTACAATAATCACACTGTGATTTTGCGTTGAAGAAAGTGCGAGTAAGACACAGTGTTAAAATTATCAAGTAGCAACATAGTTGTTGCTTTGTAATTAGAGTAGTGATCCTTGCAAGAGTCACAATAAATGAGGTGCAGTACCTTGGTGCATGGAAACAGTAATGCTTTTCGTTGTCCTTTCAGATAATATTGAATATGTCTATTTTTAAGACCTTGGAAATATACCAATTAAATTAAATTAAATTAAATTAAATTAAATTTTATTTGTATAGCGCCAATACCAAAACTAGGATAGCATAAAAGTGTGTGTACTTGGATGGAGGTTTGTGCACATAGGTAACATTATATACATTATATACATTACCTCTGCTAGCTCGGTCCACATGCTCAAGGTCTTCAACAAACTTGATCACATTTGGAAATTCTTCCTCGCATACTTGCGCCAGGAAGTGGAGTAATGTGGTCTTTTGGTCCGCTGACTTTGTGTCCTTTAGCTGTAGTAGAACACATACACAAACACATACAGTTACAGACAAAGACCTATGACAGCAAAAATATGTCATTTATTTTTACTTTATTCTCAACAATCTATTAGCAAATATATTCTATGGACTGGGCAATAAAACTGATCTGACTTGGGGCTGGGATATTTTGCACTAAGTGTTTTTTAAAATGTCACAGACTCCCTCTAACCTTATATACAGGTAATACTTTTAATTAAATGAAGGGTAGAAAAATATTTATATAAATTTCGAGAATTAATGGATAGTGATAGCCGGAGATGGTGGATGGATACCTAACTTTATTCCCTAAAATTAATGCAAAACTAGGGGCACCATCATGAAACCATTGGTTTTTGATTTTTTCAGAACACAGGTCATGATTTACAGAGAAGACGTTTATGCAAGAAAATGCTATTTAATTTCAGTTTTACTTTTTGCTGAAACAGTAAGAGTATTGACAGATTCTGTGCTACATAACCATATCTAATGGATGTATTGTGACAAAGGAAATTGACCTTCATTTAGCTACATTAAGCCTTTTCGGTACCTTTATAAATGCTTAGTGTCGACAGTGCTATAGATGATTTGATGTCTCGTACTCATGCAGCAGACACGTATTCACAATGTGATGACCTCTCCTGTGCTTTGTGCCTCTCTCTCCCCCACACGCAACAATTTTTCAATTTCTCTGATAAATTTCCATCATCGCTCTTTTACAGTCTAATTCCAAGATGTCTCTCAGTATCCCCGCCAAACATCCCTCCTGTGGAGTGCGTTGCTGTGTATCTCCCTAGGTGATCTATTGGTAGACAGCAGTGTACTCAGCCCTGCTGGGTTTAATCATGTTTGTATTATCTCCTCTAATCAAACATTCTCATCTATCTTTTCATTTCGGTTATCCCATTTTTTCAAAAGCTTCAAGTGCTCGCTCACAAAAGGTCCCTCTCTGAATTTAGATAGATGGTAATCATAGTTGACAATGTAAACATTTTGCTTTTTCCAGTTGGGTTGGGTGCAATTTTCATGTGCTGTGGAGTGTGCCATGGAATTAAGCTGTCAAACTCAAGGCAGACACAAAGGTGATGTCTTCCTCTGTATATCCTGCCTCTGACATCAACTCACACCTTGGTTCCACAACATACAGACACAAAGATAAGGGAACAGACACACTGGAAGAGTAGCGTTACACAATGCGCTAAATACAAAACAATTTTATAAATTGGTTATATTATTGTCATGCTAATTAAACTAATCCATCATGTATGTGTGAATCCTTGTTTATATGAACATAAGCATCCGAGTCTAACAGGGCAGAGAGGTGGCAGTGATGAATGATTGCAGTGGTTGTTACTGTGGAAACTGCAGTGATTGTGCCAACAGCTGTAACGTACCCACTGTAAGAGCCTCATACTCCAGGATTTCACTCTGTTCACACCGTCATTATCATAGATGAAAACTATGCTAGCTATACTATAATTCAGCATATTTGTTGAAGTTTGATGTACTTTTGTGATTCTTGCAATTTTTAGGTTGTGTCCATGTGGTTAAATGCACATACTGTTTACTCTAAATATAGCTCTGTAAAATCTTTTGAAAAAGTTTTTCAATAGCTTTTTTTTAATAAAAACCTGTATTGCTCATCTTGAACCACTGCCACTCAAGGGACAGAGGACCCTCACCTTGCAAAGGGAACTGAGGTCAAAACCATACGTCTGGGCATTTCGAGAGCCTGCATTCATGTAATTCCCCAGTAGCAACACCAGCTCCAGCAAGCGGCCAAAGGAGCGACTCTTCCTGACCTCATCACATGCGGCGTTTACAGCCAAGATATCTGGACGCAGGTTGTTTATCTGCTCCTCAAACTGTAGCCGGAAGAGGATGTGGCTGAGGCGAGGACGCAGACGCTTCAGGCTGCTCATCTGGGAGAGGAGAATAGAAATGGACGAAACAAGGCAGTATGAAGGAGAAAAGAAAATGAAAAGGGAGAATTACAGAAAAGAAAAGAAAGCAAGAGAGTAAAAAAAAAAGAATGAGGACTATGTCAAAGAGAGGGAACAAAGTCAGAGAACATGGTCAAACTTAAAATAACCACAATCGCACTTTTGGCACACTCTCACATTCAGCCGGTCTAATCTAAAAGAAATTTATGCAACCGGCATGCTGGAAAGTGTTGCTAGGCAGTAGTAATAGATGCTGGCAGTGATTCGATTTGGGACCCAGGTCTGGTAAGTTAATTGTGGAGTTAGTGTCCATATAGGGCAGGCAGCGGAGGGGGTGGAATATACAATAGGCTGCCTTGGATTACCACTCTCACACAATTAGAGAAAATTGGAAAATATTGCATTGGGCCCAGGGCTTGGCCACAGCAGTGATTGTGTATGTGTGTGGGGTGGGGGGGGAGATTGTGTATGTGTGTGGGGTGGGGGGGAGGGCGCAGGTTCCAATTGTCTGTTTCACACAACAGCTGGCTGTGCGGTTTGATGTCTTCCATCAAGGGTTTAATTATAGCTACTGTAATGTTATCAAATGACTATTTCAGTCGGTGAGTGAGTGAGTGAGTGTGTATGTTTGTGCGTACATGTTGGTGTGTGAGTTTGTATGAGAGTGTATGTTTGTCTAAAAGAAAAGGAGAGAGGGGAGGAGGAGAAAAGGAAAAAATTAAGAAATAGCAAGGTGCACAAAAACCAAACATAATGCTGAAATGGAGCCGAGAGATGGGCTAAATTATGTGATAAGGACATTGTAGTAAGGAGAATATAATCAGAGGAAAAAGAAATAACACAAACACACCTGGGCATCTTCAGAGTGAATGTGAATTTGTGTTGTGCTTTCCATAAAAGCTACAGAGCACACTGAAAAAAACTGAGCTGCTGGAGACAGTCTCAACAACATGGGATGGAAGTGTGAACAGTGAATTAAGAAAAATGATGCACCATATAGTGTAAAAAACAATACATGTGAGTAAATATTTTGGCTTTAATTCAAAGAAGTGCCAGTCAAAAGGACAGTGTCTACAGTTGCACCAGCAGAGTGCACATGCTGGTAAACAGAATGATTCCTAAGATGTCAGGGATCAAAATTAAGTCTGTAGTCATCAACCACAACTGATGTACAGTGATAACAGCTCCTGTACTGCATGAAGTTGATTACTGGAAAAACCATAGACTGTATAATAGACGTAAAGGCTCAAAAGAACAGTGGTGAAGCTCAGTGGTGAAGCTCAGTGTGGTCAGCTCTGGCTGTCGCCTTCTTGGCAGTCCTGACTCCGCCAGCTCCTGACTAATCCAATAATGGTGTGGAGCTGAGGCAGGCTGAATGAAGCCTGGTTACTGAAAACAGCCGTCTGTGACAGCACCCACCTGTCACTGAAATCAGTAATGCCCTTAATTATACATAACTTTAAGCCTTCATATAACTTAAATGGGTTAGTTACATAAAAATTCAACCCCCATACAGTTGTCGCGAACAGGGAATTTAGCTATAGAGACCGAAACCTGTATTTGTTGTTAACATTTTATTTCTGTTGTAACATTTGGGCAATTTAATATGGGAGGCTTCTGGAGATTGACTCACTTCTGTAGCATGTTAAAGGAATTGCAGTTTTTGTCACTTCTGTGTTTGCTTCATTTGCCAGCCAGTTGCCGCTTGGTAAAAAAACATTATGGAAATGAATACTCTGTAGGAAGATCAAGAGCTTTGTTGCCTTTTGACTGCTTGTCACAAAGAACTGACTTACTAACTCATTCATGTAGCTGCAGAAAGTTAAACATTAAATGACTACATTACCCTTGTGTCCTGCAAGGTACTGTAAGGACACAACAACAATGCAATCAGATCTTTTTTTTCCCTTTTGAATAGACACTACTACTATGCACTACTACACACAGGGTAGAGTTCAAATCAAGTGTGAGGGTGGCAGACATGGAAAAAAGAAAAGATAAAATGCATGTGTTTGCACAATGGTAAATTAAAAATTCCCTTTGAACCTGAGCTTTTCTGATAGGTGAAAGCACACAGGCCTCCTTGGGCCCACGCAGGCACAGCAGTTAAACAGCATTATATAAGCAGGCTCTTCTTTGTTCTATGTCTCCCTGATGAACTATACACAACAGCTGAGCATGCTCTATTTTCACTCCCCTCCCCCCAATTAAGGCACTGCATTTTCATTCAGTGATAAGATTCGCTTTCATGGGTGTTTACAAAACAGGTGGGTACACAGGGCAGCAGAAGACTATTGTATGTTCTGTCAGTCACTTGGTTGCTAGGGAGAAACACAAAATACACAGAAAGTGCTCCAACACTCATGCATAATTTTGAATAAACCTCCTTTGAAAAGTCTTTAAGAAAACGATGCAGGCATAATTAGGCAGCATAAATTAGTTCAGCAGTCCACAGGTGTCTTGTCTTTCCTCTTAAGGCTTAAAAAGATAGATTTTTAAAAATTTTAGGATTAGATTATTCATATGAAAGTGCTCCATTTGTATGTGTGTGTTTTGTAGGAAAGAGGGGGGAAAAAGCGATATGATGCAAATACATGACTATAACATTAAAACAGTAGTAAACCAGTTTTCTGAAATTTATACTATATCTTCATTGTGTTCTTTTTAACCACTATAGTCATACTACACTGAAATTCAACTGAGTTCACACATAATCTTAGCCTTCGATCAACAAAAATAGGAAAAGTATTTTTTGCGATACATGTGTTCATGTTGATGAGAGCTATAACCAGCTGGTGTGGAGATGACAGTTTTGTGTGTGTGTGTCTGTATGTGAAGAGTGTGAGAAAGTGTGTACTCACCACAACCCCAAACTGTTCAGGCTCTGACAAATTTGCGTACTCATTTTTATACTTGGCCAAGGCATTCAGCTGCTCCTGCTCTGGAAGGTGCTTCACAAGGTTCTACAAAGAAGAGAGAGGGAGAAAAGGAGTGAGACGCAGCACAGAGGAAAGCAGAGCAGAGAGAAGCAACCGGTATACATTTATATAAAAATAGCATTGTGGTGATGTTGTGATACTTGACACACTTTGTTTTAATAAATGTACTTGATAGGACATCTATCATATCCTCCTCATTTTCATGTTTAAATGTCTTTACCATGTATAAAATGTAATGCTTCACAGTCTCCCCCCTTGGGGGATTAGCTATATCTGGGTTTCAACAGCACTGTGGTTGCCCGCAGTCCACGCCTGCAATGTGGTGTTTTCCTAAAATTGAATTTACAATTGGCCCTAGGACTACTGCTATTTGAACTGTGCTTGTATAGAAATTTAACTTACTTTAGTTCTATTTTCTGTGTGTTTTGTTGAGTTTCAGGCCTGTTGGTGAGTTGCAATAAAATGTCATTTATTATCAAACAGACTATACTCTGAAGGCTATTATGCACTTATATAGACAATTGAAGGTTAAATTGCAATTGCATTTTTTAGACAGCCAAAAGGAAAAAAAAGCCATGTTGATTACTATGCCTTCTTGTCTGAATTTAACAGCCATCTCAACAAACACTGCTACTATGTGGTAAAAATGTTGGTCTGATGCATTTAAATTGGGTTGACAATCTGTCCCTGATGCCTGGAGTCAGGACGACTATTGCTACATCCATTACTTGAGTTTTTATTGATGCAGAATAATGGACTGCTTTAATCACCATTAATTATTTGCATGTTATAATTAACAATTATTGATCAAATTAAATATTTCTTTAAAATGCACATCTGTAGCTTAGGTTTGTTTTTGTTTATTTCTTTCAACTCACCTAACCCACATCTGCACTGACTAATCACAGTTAAATAATCTTAACTTAACTGCATCAACTTCCTCAACATCTGGTGCACAAATTCTGAGCCATCAATTTTTGACATCTACAAATTGATTTAAATTTGTCTTGACAAATGTACGCTGAATGCTTATAGTATACTTATTTAATTCCAGCTATTTAGACTACTGTAATTCCTTATTTGTCGGACTGCCTAGGAAATCAATTGACGGCCTCCAGCTTGTATAAAATATGACTGCCATGGTATTGACAAGAAAATTGGAGCACATTTCTCCATTCTAGCCTCCTTGCAATGGTTACCTGTGTCCTATAGAACTGACTGTAAGGTTTCATCACTTATTTGCCTCTTCCTACAATGTTGACCTTCTCTGTCCTTACATTCCTGTTAGTAGCCCAAGGTTTGCCGGCCAGTTCTTGCTGTACACAGGACCAAACTAGAGACAGAGGGTAGTAGGTCATTTGCTGTAAGGGCTGAGAACCTCTATAACAGCATCCCAAGGCCAGCACTGTCAGTTGCCTCTTAAAACTTAGAAAGTTATTTTTAAACTTGTATTATTATACTATTAAACTTTTAAATTCTTCTTAATTTTGCTTTTTATATATATTTATATATATATATATATATATTTTGTATTTTCATATTTTCTCCTCTCAACTATATTATGTATTGGACTTGCTCTTTTGGGTATGTATTTTCACCTTAATTTGTCATAAGAATCCCTGTTGGCGTTGCAAAAAGTGTGCACTAACACCAATGATCCAAAAGTATCAATACCAGGAACTAGAGCCTGACCAACAGAGAACCGAAATTGTCAGCCCATATTATCACAGATATCAGTAATACCATATATGGCAGCTGAAAGTAACGAGAAACCGGCTATAAAATAAAGACAGGCTTGCAGTAATTTAGAAACAGTGTCACCAGTACACAGTTTGTAAAATGTCCCTTATAAAATATACTTACAGACTGTATAGCCTCAAGATAAAACGTTGCATATTGTAAGCTGAGCTAGTTAGCTACAATATTTTTCCCACCTCAGAGCTAGTTGCATATATCTAAGAGTTACGTGGCCAATCCAAAAAAGTAAACTACTAATGTCAGATAAGTAACTGTAGTTCTTAACCTTCAGATGTCTTTCAAAACCTGCCCTACCTGAATCATAGGTTCAGTGAGTTGCTCCTCGTCCACCTCCACTATCATCCGACGAATTTCCTGATAAGGCATACGGAAGGAACCCAGGAAGATGGCTACATGGAAATAAAAGATGCAACAATGCTGTGGTAAATCTAAAAAAAATGATTCACAAATGACTAGCAATGACGCAATTTCAGAGAACTTTGTCATACAAATCAATAAGGAAAAAATAAAACCAAAACATAATGTGAAATAAAAAAGATCAAGGACAGATGAAGGACGTGAAGTAGGAAGCAAAGAGAACTAAACTTAAATAAAAAACTATCAGAATATAGTTATCCAGACATAAAAATGTTAGTGGTTTAGCAAGCATGGCATCCTCAAGCAAGTGGTACCACTAGGGACAGAATGGCAAATGCCCTGTCAGGATAAGTCATTAGTCTAGCCAGAGAAACCATCAGCGAAACCCTGACAGTTAAAAGATGTGTGACTAGGCTATGAGCCAGATGCTGCAAACTTTACTAAAGATTATTGGGAATATTTATATAACATTGTATATCCTACTTACAAATTGATATGATATATGAGAGAATCAGGAATAACTCTCCAAAACAAATGATCTTTTCCAATCTCACTGTCAACACTAGTATATGTAGTTTATCACTGTCTGAAACCACTTCTTATGCAAAAGGACACAAGGGAGTTACTTTAAACTGATTTAAAAATCTTGGTGAAATATCACAGAAGCAGGTGTGCAAGGTGTCAAAAGATACTTGGGATACGTTTCATTCCCTGAATGTGAAAATATACAATAAACCTGATTCTGATTGTTAGAAGAAATTACTGAGGTGACTTAAACAAAAAGTTTGGCTATTCAAATTGTTTGAAGTAAAAAACACTGAATATAGTCAATGGAGGTCTGACATTGTGAAGTAGCGTGGCATCATGGGAGTTGTTCTCGTCATTGTTAAAGAACCACCAACGCAGATAACAATCTGCCGTGACTTGGGCAGAAATTATGTTCAAGGACAAGGTCATGTATTAAAGTTTAATTCGCATTACGTTTAGTCACATTTGCAAACTTCCTTCCTCACTCTCTGACAAAGCCCGCGTTTCCCCTGAAGTTATAGCAACTAGATTGGGGAAAGGGGATATGACGGCATTGACAGGCGACCAAATGAAATGCCCCATTGACTTGTGATGTAAATGATGTATTTCTGTTTGAACATTGTTGTGATCATTTGAACTCCCACTCAAAAAAATACATTACATAGGTCTAGTCATTTTACACATTTTAATGTGGAAGTGAGCTTTGTACCTTTATTGCTAAAATTAAATTCAAACTCATTAGAACACATTACATGGAATAAATTTGCCTTGTATCTTAATAGTGACGGCATCAATCAAGCAACAGAACTAAAAGTATGCATATTCATTGTCAACCTCAATTAAAGCTTTTAGACTCTGTACCTCCTATGGTGGAACACATAAATTGCCCACTCTTCTTTTTTTCTCCACTTATTCCTACTCTATAATTTCCGCTGCATGATTTATCACTGTTACTGGGCTGATTAGTCTCATTTTCTTTTAATACATGAAACAAAGGTCACAGCTCCCCTTGATATAAGCCAATGAGGTGCTAAGATCTGGGAGTGCTTAAGAGATCAGCTGGATCCTCATTAATGCCGGGTGCTTTTATAACGGTCATTTTAAGACCAAGCATGCGTGTGTGTGCGTGTGTGTGTGAGTGAGAGAGAGTGCAAGAGAAAGAAAGCAAGAGAGAATAACTTACAGAGACAGATCAATGTAAACATACATGGTAGCATTTTTCCTCTTGTTTCCTCTTTTCTTAATGAATTAATTAGCTCAGGCCGTGTGTGCGCGTGTGTGTGCGTTTGTGTTTGCGTGTGCACGTGTGTGTAGACAGTGTCACAGCTAGCAGTGGCCAGGTCCACAGTAAGTGTAGTCTTGCTTTACTTGCTATAGCAACAAGCAAAGGTGTAAGTCATTCCCAGCCAAAATGTATTTAAATGTATACTTTATTGTGGCTACTTTATAAACATGTAAATAATATATAATAATAATAATATAATGAAGGGATACAGGAGGTGACTTAAGTGAGAAGACAGGAAAAAGTGATAGCAAAGTGTATTGTGAGGAACTGTGAAGACTAAAATGACAGACATGCTCAGTACACTGTAACATCAAGACACAAGGGTGTGTATAAATCCCGTCTTTGGGAGGAGTGGGCTGAAAGGAAACAAATACTTACATAGATTCTGTGCAATCTTAGGATCGAGCACTTTGAGCTCCTTAATTCTCTTCTTTATGGATTTCTTATCCTCTAGATCCTCCTCTTCTTTTTTGGCTGATGAAGACAGAAACACTGAATTATTTTCAACACACAAAGGAAACATTTACACAAATGCATGCACTTACTTTAATGCTGACATATGTATGATACGCATAAATTCAGATACGGTGAGATTATGAGATTTACATACACAGACTGGTGAAGTGAATAACATTAACTATCTGGTTATCATTGTATCTGTCAGTAGGTGGGATATATTAGACAGCAAGTGAACATTTTGTCCTAAATGTTGATGTTAGAAGCAGGAAAAATGGGCAGCGTGAGAATTTGAGCGACTTTGACAAGGTCTAAATTGTGATGGCTAGACAGTCATGGGTGGCTTAAGCTCACCGACGTACGTGGGGAGCAAAGACTGGCCCGTGTGGTCCGATCATACAGATGAGCTACTGTAGCTCAAATTGCTGAAAAAGTTCATGCTGGTTCTGATTAGAAAGGTGTCAGAACACACAGTACATCACAGTTGTCGCGTATGGGACTGCATAACAATATGACCACCTGGGTGCCCAGGTGGTCATATTGTTATGGCTGATCTGTGTATCCAGGTACAACATTATGGAAGTCAGTGCAATGTAGAGACTGTCCAGTTGTTTATTTTTCTTATCTTTTTTTAGAGTTCTAAAACTAATTTTAGTACTAAAAGTACTAATTTTAAAAATGTATTAATTTCAAATTCAACCACAATTTCTGTTTCTTTTCTCTTTAGGGTGTGTGTTTATATATGTTTCCAAATGTTCCCAAAGGAACGACACAGTCCTCCATGACTGCTGCCAGAGAAGCATGGAGAATAGGATTATGGGACAGTCTTGTGATCACACCACTGACAGAGTAAGGTATGGGTGAACTATGGCTGTACCATAAACACAATGTTGCACATACAGCTGAATGACAGTAAATTGTTTCTATGTAACATGGAGCCAGGTATGGGAATGTGGGATTGTGACATATGTGCTATTGGTCGATAGAAGAGGTATAATGATATCTCAATTACAAAATAATGGCACATATGCAGACATATATATGTATATATATATATATATATACATAAACATGAACATACACATCCCTCTTGAGCCACGTTCACAAAGAGGAGATGGTTTTAATTATTTAAGACACAGATTAAGAGAACAAAATGTGCATCCCAGGAGTATGCTGGGTAATTGTCTGGTGCTGTAATTATAGTGTCTGAGAGGAGAGAAGAAGATAGGATAAGATAAGATAGGATAGGATAGGAGAGGAGAGGAGAGGAGAGGATAGGAGTTAATCCACAGGAAAGGTATTTCTACTGTTCCACATGGCCTTGGTCTTCTTTTCGGGGGATCCTGTATCTAATTAAAAAGTGAAGAGGTATGCTGGGAGCTCCCGCAGAAAAGACTGGTAGCATGTCCACAAACGTGCACTCCTACAGCACAGCTCACCACAAAGAGAAATACACAAACACGGCCACACACTGAGCTATCCTCGGACTTACGTGGCTCCTCTGTTGGTACACTATCCTCACAGTCTTTCAATGTGTGAGAGAGGCGAAAAAATGCATAGGGCAGACAAGGAAGACAAGGGAAAATGTGCACCATGGAAAAGGGAGAGGAATGAGAATAATGAGATAAAAATACATGTTCACAAGATTACACCCTGTCCACTGCAGCTTACTGCAGACTCAAGTAAGGAGAGAACAAATACAATCTAAAAACTTAAGTGGAAAATAGCTGAATACATAAACAAGTAGATAACAACTACATCAGATAGAAAACAGAGAAAAAGATGAGTTGCATAAGAAACTAATTTCATAAAATAATTATCTGCTTTGGAGATGAAATGATAAGTAAATAAATTGTTCAGGCTATAGCAACTATTGTCATATTAAATTAACCCTAAAAATATTAATGTCAGTTCAATCAGTGATGGTAAATGTAATACCTTTGAGTTTTGGTTGGTTGGTTAGACAAAACAAGTCATTTGAATGTGTCACTTTGGTCTTTGGGCAGTTTTAACAATTTTCTGACACTGAATAGACAAATCGATGAAAATATAAAGGGTATCACCTTAACCCTGGAAAGCAATTGGCAGATTCAGTCACTGTAAGCACTGTACACTCTAGCTTCACTGTATACATAATATTTTGCATACACTATCTATTTTCTAACTGTAATGCATGTTAACAGAAAAATTGAGAT